TTATAATTTTGGTAATTACTGCCTATCCTATGAATGTTGAGTGACATACTTAAATTTGCGGCGCTGGTTGGAGATAGTCTTCAGAAAACCCTTGGCACTGGCTTCATTCTATTTTTTGACTCGTCAGAAGGATGTATCTGTAATCTTGGAAGACATGCTGTTTCCTGACTGATTCGGTGTTATGGTACCCAAGTGCATAGTCTCACATGTTACAAATTAGCTAAATCAGTAGCGACCAACCTCCTGTAAAACTGAAATGTACTTATATTGAATAATCACTGAGAAGTGACCAATATCATGAATATCTAATCCTTCTTCATGCTAACGTCCCTGACTGTAAAACTGGGTGGTATAACAATGAATCATTCAGGAAGTAAGAATTCTCTCAATATTACAGTTACAGCTTATTGATTAGTAATAGCTAATTGTACGAAATCTCAGTAACCTCAGCAGCAGTAGGTCTCAATACAAACAAAGGGAAAAGAAAGACTCACGGATACAATACAACATGCACCAATCGAATTACACTTGACGGAGAAGCTTCGGAGGATGTGAAAACCTTTACATATCTGGCCAGCATCATTGATGAACACGGTAGATGTGATGCAGATATGAAGACGCGGATCGGCAAAGCAAGAGCAGCATATTTACAACTAAAGAACATTTTGAACTCTAAATAACTGTCAACCAACACCAAGATCAGTATTTTCAATACAAATGTCAAGACAGTTCTAGTGTATGGGGCAGAGATATGGAGAATTACGAAGGCCATCATCCAGAAGATACAAGTGTTTATCAACAGTTTTGTATGCAAAGTACTTCGTATCCGTTGGCCCGACACTATCAGCAACATTCTATTGTGAAAAAGAATAAACCAGATTCCATCGAAGGTAAAAATCAGGAAGAAGTGCTGGAAGTGAATAGGAGAAACATTGAGGAAATCATCCAACTGCGTCATAATGCAAGCCCTCACATGGAGTTCTGAAGGCCAAAAAACACATCACGCCGAGAAATGTAAACAAACATAAGAAGAATCAACAAAAATTGGATAGAACTAGAACGAAAAACCCAGGACAGAGTGTGTTAGAGAATGTTGGTTGGTGGCCTATGCTCCATTGGGAGTAACAGGCGTAAGTAATTAAGTAAGCAATTGCAGGAAATCTAAGTTCAGAGTTTTCTGTTGACTACCTTCAACAACCATCTTATATCTTAACAAAGTACACGCAATTTTGAATCGAAACAAATTTTACAGATATCAAAATTTTAAATATTACGTTAAAAAAAACGATTACTGATATTGAGCAATGAAAAATAGTTTTGAAAATAAAAAAGAGTCAATTTTCGACATTTCGCATATTTATTTTTATCAATATTCAAACATTATTGGAAAAGTAAAAAAAATTTAAGCGGAATTCTGATTTATTCAAGCTAAATAAATAAAAAAATCCGCTTTCACGGTTATATTAAAACTAAAAAAAATTCCAGAAAAAGTTTTTTTTTCTTTTTTTTTCCTTTGATAAAAAAATTCTACTATCAACAGACAAAAATTTTTTTTCCTAAAAAATTGTTTCATGCATAAAAAAATTTTTTTATCTAAATTTTTTTTTCTTTTTATTAAAATATTAGAAAAAATTTTTTTTATCTGGATAGTAACAACTAGTGAATAATAATAGTTACTATGATAGAGATTATCGTTATTTTTTCTTTATTTTGGTATCCATTGCTTTAATTTATTGTCTAGAAGTGATATTGTCTCATTTTTAAACGATTAGTTGATATGAATTATTGGAATGGTAAATAATTCATGAGTCTAAAATTATTTATTATAATCTGTCGGTGAAATTAAAATATTATCGCCTTATTTGTTCTTTACATTGATGGTTATATCTTCTAAAAAAGATAACCTTATAAAATGTTTATACTTGTAACTATGGTTCATTTCATAAATAAAATTATAGAGACAATAAATATTTGATAATAGTTTATTATTATTAAGACTGTTATTATTTTTCATAGTTGAAAGCATGAGTCAATTGAAGCTAGACCCCCAAGGGGAATCTGTAAGCACTGGATAGCCAACTCGACCTATTGTGTGACTCCTCAGCAGTGCGCATCTACGATCTCGCCTCACGAGATTCGAACCCAGGACCTTGCAGTCTCGCGCCAGAGCACTTAACCGATAAACCATTGTCATTATTAATGGTTTTATACAATATTATTATTTTTAATATAATATAAAATTCTCAGAACAAAGTATTTCAACAAGTTTCTTTTTTTTGTTAGTTGTTCGATACTGATAATAAATATTGAAATCTTGTAGTGATACTGAGCAATAATCTTGTACATCATTTAATCAGGATTCTTGAATTATAATTACACCATAATTATAATACAAGGGATTGAAAATAGTCCAGTTTGTCAGTTAGATGTTAGAAGTTTTTATGGATTTTTAATGATTTTGTCATGAAAACATTAAAGCTTATGCAAAAACTGATTCAACTGTACCATAAATATGCTAATTGTGAATTAAATCTAATTAAACTTTTGAAACCAGTATTTTAGTCAGTTAAAAAAATGGGAGATTATCAACTTACAGAAATGTAAATAATATGATGGAGATAATAAAAATTAAAGAGCTTTTTTTTCTGTATTATGGAATGAGTAGAAATAATCACTTTTGTTGAGAGCAATTAATCCGTATAAACGTTGTCATGAAATAACTTGTGTTTACTAATTGGAGATTAAAGATACATGGGATCATGTCTAACATGATGATTTAAATATAATTAGGTTCTCCAAAAAAAGTGAAAACTTGAGAGTGATTTTAAAAGATCTATCAGTGTTTTTTAAATAAAAAAACTTATTTTGCAGCAAAGATTAAATTAGGCTGGTAACAATCAAGGATCACTGGGTAGATGTTTCATTCTGTTCAAAAGTACTAACTCACAATGCTTCCATGAATGAACGTTATATTTCATACATATTTCAAAATACTTAAAGGAACAACTAGATTTTACGGTAACAAGCAATGACCTTGAGAGCATTGCAAAGCAAACTAAAAGATAGGCATAGGCCACTCACTAGCAATCGCCATCCAACTCTGTCCTGGACAGTCATTTACAGTTACTATTCATCCTTATCATATCTGCTTCCAATTTTCGGCACAGTGTATCCTCTGACCGTCTTCTTTTCCATTTACCTTCAAGATTCCTATTCAGGGCTTACCTAGTGATGCAATTTGATAGTTTCGTCAGTGCATGTCCTTTCCACCTCTAACGTCTTTTCTTAATTTCCTCTTCAGCTAAAAGCTGGTTCGTTCTCTTCCACAGTAGGTTGTTGCTCATGTGATCCGGCCGACGGATAAAGTGTACCTTGAGGAGCTAATTGTGTTTATAAATACTTGTACACTTTTTATGATGGTTATGGTAGTTCTCCAATTTTCAGCTCCATGCACTCGAACTGTCTGAACGTTCGTAATGAAGCTTCCAACCTTGATATTGGTTATCAGTTGTTTTGAGTTTCACATGTTCTTCAATTGTAGGAATGCTGTCCTTGCTTTGCAATCCTAGCCTTTACGTCTGCATCAGATCTTCCACGTTCATCGATGACGCTATCCAAATACGTGAATGTTCCCACGTCTTTCAGAGATTCCCCATCAAGTGTGATTGGGTTGGTATTCTCTGTGTTGTATTCAAGAATGTTACCTACTGATAACGAGGCTTCCGTGTTATCCATTCTCCCTGAGTGTATTACGCAAGGCTGAATTTGTTAAACGTAATCGACCATATTCTCTAAAATAAGAACTAACATATCATGACATAGAACTAAACAACATGATCTCTTTTGAGCAATGCATCATATTCATTGTAGGATAAAAAATTTAAATTATTCTAACCACTTTAATCTGAATAGATGATAAATAAAGCAAGCCAAAACTGCATATATTCCTAAATGAATTTATTTTGCTGCTTATTTGTGCGAAATATCGTTGCTTGTAATCATCATGCATTTTTAAATAATGTATATTAAGAAAAGTATTGAATTTAAACAAAAATACCATCATTTTTAGAAGTGAAATATTCAATAGTTTATTGTTTCGTCGAAGGTTAGACTTGTGCCGAAATAAACATTAGTTTATAGCAGCTCACGTACAATTGAGTATGTTCACTCTTAATTTAGTTAAGCCACTTTGTTAACTTAACGGACAAAGTCATTCGTACAATAACAACCGATTTATACTATTTTACCTTTATTACTGTTGCACTTGTATAAATATATATGCTTGAGCATTGCTTACTGCCTACGCATATATTCATTCTGCTAGCCTAACTATTAGCCGCTTAATTGACTCCATGATTCATTCCTATCCATATGTACATAAATGTACACTTTAATCCTGCTCACTGACTCGTTAACTTGTTCATTAACTCGACCACTCACTTGCTATTCGGCAGCATTCTTTCATGCTTACTTAACATGCCTGTAATTTTGGCAATCTCTGCATGGTGCAATAATAAACCCAATCAACACTTCATATTCTTCTTTTGATTTATACACTGTTGTCGCGTCATCTAGTAACGGTTATCAGAACGAACAATATACTAAAATTAACGATAATATCGAATACCGATCATCACAAGTAATTTGAAACAATCACTAGTTAACAATTAAGCATGAATTATCCATGAAAATACATTACGAGATGAATTGGAATTGTAAAAGACATACTAAGAGAAAATGTTATTGATTACGAAATTGAGGAACACAGTAAATTTATTGAATGACATGATATTCGTTAACGGTAGATCTGTTTATTTACATATTCAATAAATTTGAATGAATAACTAAGACATTTTTTTAATCGAATGAACTAGCCAAACAATATTGATTGTTTATGACAATTGATTTTAAGAGACGATGTAATATGTACATTTAGATAATGTAGATCTAAGGTATATATGATTTACTTCACTAATTCCAATAACTTCTTTGCTTTTCAGATGATCTATATAATTTACAAAGTATATTGTTTGGTAAATTATCTGTCACTATAAAAGTACAATTAGCCCTTACTTCCTTCTAACTATTAGAATGAACTTTATATAAGTGAGAACAATTAGTCATGAATATTTTTCATTTTCAAATATGAAAGCTTTCCGAGGCCAGTATTTGCAAATAGATTCGGTAACAAAGGACGAAGGATTAATAATTCACATGTTTGTAAGTACATCATTTTTCTTAACCATCTTTGATTTATTTTACAATCTAATCAACACTGATCCTTTTTTACTTACACTTACAGTTATGCTTTTAAATATATACCTTCTATTGTTTAAATAACATTTGACCAAAAGAAACTCATTCCCATGATATAAATAAATGAATTAGCTATCATTTTATAAGTTTGTAAACAGAGATGGATGATGGCTAGCAGTGGGATCCGGGACGCGCGTTTCGTCCTATTTGGGACTCATCAGATGGATGTACCTGCATCTCAGAGTTGCTTACAATGCTTGTGAAATAAGGCTATATCGAGGCAATAAGCACAGTATGCACATATGCCAATTAGAGACTGACCAGTTGCAGTCCTGAAAACATCAATGGAAAGATTCAAATAAACAATACTAAGTGAATTTAAAAGTTTTTAAGTTTGTTATACTAATAAATAAACCGGTAAATTTCCAAAAGGAAATGAGATTCATCAATGGTACTAATGCACAGATATTGATTGAAGTCAGACTCACTATCGCATAGAAATGTGATAGACAAGCGTAGACATGAATATGACTGCTTCCTTGTTTTAACTGAAAAAGACGCTCGTAGACTGCGAGAATTATATAGCAATTAAAAAAAACGTCCATGTCAGCGTTGATCAAACTTAACCAGTAGCAAAAAATTGAAAAATAATGGTGTAAGTTTCATACTGACAATCATTCTATCATTAATATAAAGTGTTTAACACCATCATATAAAACTGACACCAGTGACACTAAAAATTTGGTAAATGATATTGTTGGTTAGTACTGCAGTAAAGTAGATACAAAATGTCAACAGTTTTTGGAATAATTACTTCGTTTATATCAATGAGTTATAATAGTCTCTGTTACAGAGGAAGTGAAGATATTTAATTGATTAGAAACTGTCATACTGAATATTAATAATTTCACTGTGTTTTCGGATATATTTGTTTTACTCAACTTTTGAACTTGTTTGTTTATATCTTTGTCTTCAAACATTTTGGTCTCTCTTTGGTTTGATATTTTTATTCCAGGAAGCTAAAAGATTGAAGTATTGTCTCGTAATTGTTATAATTATTATTAGGACGATATTTGGGTCGATTAATTTGTAATTTACGAATAAACTTTGGTTCTATTGTTATTTCGTATTCGTAAATTACAAGTAGATCGACATACCATGCCTCAAAAACAGAAGAGAGAAAAAAACGTGGACGTAATAGTCTCTTTAATTTCAGTTAGATTTCAAGTTAGAACGTTAACTTATATCCAAATCATGAGTTATTTTAAGAAAACTGAAATGAGCAAATGTTGATTGAAGTACATCTTAAACAATATACATATTCTATAACCCATCGCACAAGCAAGTGGCTATCAGGACTCAGCGGGCGAGTGGATAACGCGATGGCGTTTGAAGCGAGGGTGCTGGGTTCAAGTCCCAGAGTGAACATCAACTCTGAGATTCAGGTACATCCAACTGAAGAGTCCCAAATAGGACGAAACGCGCGTCTTGGATTCCACTGCTAGCCACTATCCATCTCTGCTATTCTATAACCATTCATGATAATTAATTATGAGTTTAAAAATAGATATTAAACAAATTTAAGTAAATCAATTCATTCCCCAAATCCTCATTTTCTTTTTTTCTTTGAATGTCGTTATTGAGATCTACGTTATCAAAAAAGATTAATAAATACAAAGCACTAATCATTATCTAATGTTGAATGAAGTTGTTAGAATATGTCATAAATATAGTAGAATATATAGTTGGATCAGTATGCAGTTTAAATCTTTGGTCGTATATTTTTTTCGAAATATTCAATAATCTTTTTACTTTTTTTTTCATTACGATTCCGCATATAATGGTTTTGATGTTGATCCTTAAAATGTTTTTAATCATTTGAATCTTCAAGGAAATTCAATATTACCAAAGCTATTTCAAAGTTGAAATCATGAGTCAATTGAAGCTAGACCACCATCGAAAACCTGGAAGCACTGAACAGCCGTTTCGTCCTATTATGGGACTCCTCAGCAGTGCGCACCCACGATCCCGCACTCACGAAATTCGAACCCAGGACCTACCAGTTACGAGCCAGAGCCCTTAACCGATAGACCAACGGTGTTAATGTCTAACTTGAACTAATCCACGAATTATGAGCGACACCTCACCAATTGCCTTCAGTGAGTTATTATCTCACAACAGACGTGGTTGAACTTCACTGGTCACTGCTTCCCACTAGAACTCCAGGACATGTATCTTGAAGTCAGTCACTAATGAGTATATGATAAGGAGGTTTTTTGTGGAGAAATCATGATTTCGACTAAAAAATTTGATATTTACTCATTCCTTCATTATATTAGACTATATATTTTCACATTCATTAGTAAGTAATCATTGTCATAATTTGTTGATTTTTCAAATACAAATGTAAACACTCGTTTTTTGTTTGTTTTTTTTTTCAATTTTTTTTGTTCATTTCAAAATATTCAGATCATATATCCATTTTTTTTTAAAAAAATTATTCACATATTCTTCCATCTTTTTTTCTATAATGAACCGATAATTTCATTCAATTTTTTATAATAGATGAGATCTCCACGAAACTCCCACCCCCGCCACCTGACTTCTGATAATTTCATTGTTTTAAATAAACACTGTTGATTATTTGTACAGATTTTTAAAGAAGGGAAAAACAAGGTATTTTCTGAATGTGTTTAACTGAATCTTGAAAAAAATTGAAATGAAATATAACTCTGTTTGTTTGTTTTTGTTTGTTGTTGTATCATAAATTCTACCCTGATGTTATTTTGTTGTTTGTTTTTTTTTAAAGAAGAAGAAAAAAATTTTCAGTGATTTTTGTTTGTTTGTTTATTTATTTATTTTCTATATCCGTTATATATATATTTATCAGAGTAAGCATATTTATTTTTCCATTGATGTGATATTCGATATTGTTTATCAATAAAAACTGAATGACTTAAATATCCTGTTTTTTTTTTATTTTGAATTTTGTTTATTTAATTTAAGTAGATTACGACAAGTTTGAAAAAAAATATTTTCGTTACTGTAGTAGTGGAGGTTTATATCAAGGATAGAAATTTAATTCCAAGGAGAGTTATAACGTATGGTTAGTAGTTTCATCCAAGATGTACGTTGGGACCTATTAAATAGATGTATCTGAGTAGGGTAAATCAATTCACTGTAATACGCTTACACAATTAATTTGTAAACTAAGAAAACAATATCTTAAATACAGTAATTCTGCATATCTTACTTGCGTTGTGCTTTACAAACTTCATCGTTCTTTCTTTCCTGTTGTTATTTAATTGTTCTTCGTTTTCTTATCCTTTCTTCTTTAATTCCCTCTTTTTTTTCCATAAGAATTCTACTTTCGATTTCGGGCAGATGCTACTCATATCTATACGTACAAGTAGCACACACCGGGCCTGCATCTCTTTGTCGATGTTCACATTATGACTCGAACCTATTACACTTTGGTTCCGACATCCAATGCTTTATCCAACTTGTGACCTAATGGTAATATCGAAACAGTCCACACCGGATCAATACATAGACCAATAAGAGACTGATTAATTGTAGACCTTAACAATGGATAGATTAAAACAACCTTTATAAATGAATTATAACTGAAACATAATTCATATGTAATTTAGTATTTTTATGAATAACTGCAAAAACATTTTAGAGAATCTGTTAAATTCCAACCTTAATAATCATTTAAAACAATACTTCATACAATAAAATAAAAGTAATAACGGTTCACTTATTTGGTGGTGTAATTAAATTGAGTCAACCTTAATGATAAAACAGAGTAACACTGATCACTACTGAGTAAATATTACTAACACTTCAGTAATGTAATAAGTTAACTGTGACATGTATAGTTTAGTGCTTTTTGTGACATCACGTGACTATTCAATGTTACACTCATGTGAGCCCTTTAATGCCCTGGTACGACCGAGAGTGGGGAGGGTCCACCCTTCCTCTCGAATCGCTCTCACATGTCCACGCGTATATAGTCTCTGCCAGGGAAGTCCTACTCACTGCCTTTTCGTGGCACCGGTGTTGTTTACAAAATTGAGAGCACGAAAAGCGAATGTCCGGCTCCTTAACCGGGTCGATGGACACGGAGGTTCCACCTAGGAGAGTTGGAAAACCCTGATTCCAAACCAATAATTTACATGTGCTTCAGTACCCTGTGGGAACAAATGACATATGAAATAATATTTGGCTTACGGCTACCATGGGACTGCATCTCCTTACGATGTTCCATGGCCTTGTGGATCGAACTTTTAGATCGAAGCCTTAATATGTGGCTCCTAAAAAAACCACTTGCATCGGTTTGGGCACCCGGATAGTATCACAGCCCTCACATAAATCAAATAACATTTGAGTGGCGCATATTTATCTGATGCCTTTTTGTATTAATATTTGTGTTTAAATAAATAATTAAATATATTCATATCAACTGATATTGAATTAAACTTATAATGAACCTCGTTCTTATGATTCTTAATATTGTATATTTATATACTAAGTATGAAAAGATTTTTCGATTGAAGATAATGTTAGAAAAAAAACAAGAAGACCATGAATTATTCTTAGACAAAATATAAATCAATTAAGACAAAAAATCTTAGAAAATTGTGTATTTTCAAGGAAAAGCATCATATTCTCTGGGTGTCTTTTTTTTGCACATCTTTGTGATTATCATTGAAATTGATTGATTGTATCTTGTGTCAGGTTAAACTATAGAATATGTTAATTATAGAAGGGGTTTTGTGGAGATTTAGTGTTTATCATAGTTGAAAGCGTGAGTCAATTGAAGCTCAATTGACTCACGCATTCAACTATCATAGAACATGTGTTAATCAATGATTTTCGTTTTTTTTCTTCTTTGATATATGTCTGTCAGAATAATATTTGATTGTCAGTCAGTCAGCTACAACGTAGGACCAGGCACATTTATGCATCAGTCCAAGTTGCCATACCTCGTTAGCACAACAAGATGAACACCGGATTCATAGTAGTTAATTTAGTGTTGGTACTAGTATATAAATTATAGGTTGTATATAAGGATATAGTACAGGAAGGAAGAGAGATATGAAGCAATTTTAGTCTCAAGGTTTAAGGGAAGATAAATAGTGTATACACCTACGCCATTGTGATCGATTCTGAGCCATGTCACCTAGAGTCTCCAACCATTGGTTACGATAGTCACACGGACCCCAGACAGGTAGACTGCATCTGCCAACATGGCTCAGGCTAGAAGTTAGTGACTTCAAACACTGATGCCATGTTTTGGTTTGGCCGCCCCTAACTCTCTTCCAACCATCCCCAATACTAGTCATCATAGCGCGTCGTGGTAATCGGTGTTCAGGCATACGTAACACATGGCCCAACCATCTCAGTAAATGTATTTAATCATTGAAAATCAATCTTTATCTAGTACATATTTTGATGTTCTATAATTCTTTCTTTAGTTGACGTTTATGATTTGAGTAAATCATACTATCATGAAGAGTATTAATCAGGCTTCTGTGTTTAGTTTAAGCGAAAGATCTTGATAAATTTAAGCCTATTTCAAATATGAAAATTATTTTCACGATTTTCAATTAATTTTCTAAACTTCACTAATTTTTTATACTCAAAATTAGATTTGAGTGAATAGATAATAAATTTCGATAATGTAATGAGAAGACGAAGGTTATCAGAACTATGTGGTGAGATACTAGCGGAATACATTTCGAACAATTTGATCACACATATACTTGTTAAGAACATTTATATATAAAAAATAAAAGGTCAACTAGACTGGTAATAAGGTTAAGAAATAGACAAGGATAATAACGATAAAATAATGTGGAAACCATTCAAAACCTAATCACTCTGGATAATAAGCATATATTACCTACGTCCTTAAGTAATCAAAGCTGGTGTAAAACTAAACTGGTTGATATAGCACACCAATTTCATAATGTTGGACCTAAACAGAGAAGCATATTAACTTCTCAACATTTTAAATCACTAAAAGAACTACGAACAAACACTGATATTGTCTTGTTGAAGCCTGATAAAGGATCAGGCGTGGTTATCATGAATAAATGTGAATATTAGGGTAAGATGTTATCCATTCTCAATGATGAAAGTAAATTCATGCCTGATGTTGAATTTGGAGATATTAAAAAACTAGAGGGTAGAGTAAATTCAAACCTGGAAAAATTGCTTCACATGAATATTATTGATAAAGAGGAATTTAATCTCTTAAAAGCTATGGGTTCAGAGTATCCTCATTTATATGAACTACATAAAATTCACAAATCAAATATTCCTTTACGTCCAATTTTATCAATGTGTCAATCACCCACACAAAACCTGGCCAAATGGCTAACAAAATTATTGGATTCTATTCGAAGACGTATATGTAAGTATTCTCTAAAGGATTCTTTTGAATTGGTCGATCATTTAGGTGACATTAATATCAAAGGAAGACCTATGTGCTCATTTGACGTGAATTCCTTATTCACAAATGTACCTTTAAAAAAGACTATTGACATTTTATGTGACTATATATCTTCAAACAACTTTAATTTACATATCCCCTTAAAAATTCTTAAAGATTTATTACTTTTATGTACTGATAAAGTTCAGTTGAGATGAGTTTTGAAGGCGAATACTTTCGACAGATTGATGGGGTTGCTATGGTTAGTCCGTTAAGACCATTACTAGCAGATGTGTTTATGGCACATGTAGAAAGTTTATCTGATGACCTAATCAAAAACATGTCACTTTATAAGAAATATGTGGATGATATCGTAGTAATTGGTGAAAGAAAGGAAGATATAAACTGCCTATTGAATAAATTTAATAATATCCAAAACCATATTAGTCTTTCATATGAAGAGTGGAAGAACGACCAGCTTCCCTTCTTGATGTACTTCTAAACAGACGATGGCTCAATAAAAAGATCCATTTTTCGAAAACCGATGTGAACGGGTCAATATCCTAATTACTATAGTTATTGCCCTGTACAATACAAACGGGGTTTGGTAAAGTGCCTATTTAACAGGCTTGATAGTATTTCCACAAACAACGCTATTAATGATGATGTTAAGCTGTTAACCAAGACTTTAATCGGGAATGGCTATCCACCTAAATTTATCAATAGATGGAAAGTTCAGGGCACAGTGAGACTTACTGTAGCCTTGGTAGAGAAAAAGTCTGTCTACATCACCTTACCATTTAGAGGTGATTCAAATAGCCTTTTATTGAAACAGAAGCTTAAATCTGTTATCGACAAAACGTATTGTGCTGCGAAAGCCATAATCAGGGAAAGAACGTGGTCTATGCTTCATTCAAAACCTAGACGACATGAAAACGATTGTGTCACATCCCACTGAGCAATAGTGATCAGAAAATTAGGATGGATGAACATGTACCGAAATGGTTGCAGAGACAAATAGAATCAAATGACCCAATAGGAGTAGAGGATAAACATCCATCATCCTCTATTGCCAAACATGTAATCGAAACAAGTCATTGAATTGATCTTATTTAGGCTTTTGTGGTGTTGTATAAAAGTGTAAAAGGGCTGATACTAAAGTTTATTGAAACCTTAGCCATACGAAAATTCAAACCCCCTTTGTGTATTCAAAAGCAGTTTGTTCTCACCTTAAACCTACCCTGGTAATATATGTTTATTATCCAGAGTGATTAGGTGTCAAATTGTTTTCACATTATTCTTAAAATCCAAATAGGACGAAACGCAAGTCCTGGATTCCATGCCAGCCGCTATCCATCTGTGGTTACAATGCTTGTGGATTAAGCTATATCGAGGCAATACGCACAGTATGCACAT